ACACCCCTTATAGACCAGCTTCGTGAATGAGGCCTACTAACGGTAAGACTGACTTTTACTCATACATATATATAATGTTATACTTTTAATGTTATATATAGTATAGGGTGTATTTTATACTTTTAAAATACTATATGGTTAACTTTAACAATTACACTTTTAATTCAATTAAATGGTTAACCTAAACCTTTATGGATTTATTAAATCTCTTTTAATTATACTCCTTAATTAATTAATAAAACCATAAGGGTGTGATTTGAACTTTTCAAAACATTACTAGGGTTTTAGAATTTAACATTCTTAATTAAACTTTTAATCAACTTTTAAATTCCAAAACTTGAGGGCAAATTTTGAAACCTTTTTCAAAACATTAGGGTTTTAACTATTTAAATTTTAAAACTCCAAAACTTTGGGTTCAAATTTAAACTGTAAAACCTAAAGGGGAAAATATGAAACCTTTCATAACAACAAGGATCAAATAACAAATAATTTTAAATTAACATTTAATCACATAATTATCCATATTTGATTTATTTAATGATTTCTTGCAAAACAATTTATCAATTTACTCAAAATAATTAATCAATTATCTTATAAGGAAACAATTATCTTGTTAATTGATAATTATCTTTAATTAGATCAAGAATATAGTCATATATATCATAAAATCGGATTTATATTGATCTAACATGATAAGGTAACTATCCATATGCAAAAACAGCAAGAAATCCCGAGATAAGCATTATCTGACGAGTTGACTCGTCGAGTCAGGCATGGACTCGTCGAGTCAGGCATGGACTCGTCGAGTCTGCATGGACTCAGTGAGTTCAGCCATGGACTCGGCGAGTCCAGCCTCCACAATCCAAAAAATCGAATTTTCCAGTTATACAAAGCATCAATACAATTGAAACCAAGCTAGGCTCTGATACCACTGATGGGTTTTGGTCATAAGACATCCTATGTGCTCATACAAACCCTAATGCTTGGATCTAGGTTTCTCTATTGTACATGCTTTGAATCCAAGACTATAAACCCTAATTCTAGCATGCAAGTAATCATATTAACATGTAATTAGGTTTAAGATCATACCTTGATTGTTATGTAGCAATAACAATCCCAATTCCTCCTTGTATTGACTTTGGAATGCTTAGAGTCACAAGTGTCACTCCTCTAATGGTTCACAAACACCATAAGCAAGAGGATGAAGAGGAGAGAGGTTGGAGGCTGCCAAAAACGTGTGTAAACCCTTACAAGAAGCTTAGCCACGTTTTTGAGCCTTAAGGGGTCTTTATATACTTGGGCTATTAGGGTTATCTAACAAGGAACCCCTAAATTGGATGCTTAAGCCCTAAACAACCCATAGACTTCTTTTATCAAGCCCATGGACGATTTCCTTATGGATTTCCCATTAGAATTCGTCCATCCCTTAATACAAGGCAATCCATGGCCCAAATTGCAATTATCTTATAATTACAATTCCAGTCCCTTATGTTGAATTAATCTCTTTTAGTCACAAAACTAATTACCAATTAATTATTGACTAATATTAATTAACCAATATGATTTCTCCTTTAATATATTATTCCCATAATATATTAATAAATCATATTTAATCCTTACTCTCCATAATTCATCATATCAAGTTGCTTTGGTGAAGGCAACCCAAAAGGACCATGCACCATCGGGTCAAGTACATACCAAAATAGTTATGGACTTAGACACTAATCCAACAAAAACTTCCGGAGCGAGAGTGTTCGGATGGGAGGGTGTTCCGAAGTGGGTTGGTCCGGATGAGGTGGTTCCGAAACAAAGAAGATTTCGGAGATTGCGAGATTACCCGACTGAGAAGAGTCCAGATCAAAAGGCTTTCGAACTTGTCCGATTCTTGAGAAGGTGTTCCGAACCAAGAGGGGTGTTGGGTTTTATCCTTTGGTTTTAAGCTGTTTTCAACAAAGGAAGGGGGTAGGGATGGTACAGATGTTCATACAAAAGTTGGAAAAGTTCAATTTTATCACCAAGGGGTTTGAGAGAGATTGGGTGGGAATTTTTGGGAGAGATTGGGGGGGGGGAGTGAGAGTGTGTGTGTGGGAGAGATCGAGAGAGACTTTGTTTGTAGCCTTTGCTAGAGTTTGGCCCCGTAATGTAAGGTTTGTAAGCCCCACTATGCCTTGTTATGAGTGTTTTACGTCCCCGAAGGGTACATAATAGCGTTTTATAGAGTCGTTACATCACTCGCCCTAGTTAGGGTTTAGAATTTTTGAACATTTGAAACTTCTGAGTGACACTTTGTATTAAGATAGATAGTTGTACATTAGTAAATATAGAGTAAGCCCTAATATACGAGCACTAGTTGAGTTTACCAGTTTGACTCATTGACTTTGTTTGACTTTGACTTGTCCAGAAATTGACGGTTGTCACATGAACCCTTCAGCCGATACCCTTGGCATACAAATACCCTATTTCATATCCTACTAAAATGAAGAGAAGACCCGAGTAGCCGTCTGGATAGAATACCCCCAATCAGTCACTGGTATGCCAATATGTGATGGGCCCAATCAGTCATCAGACTGGTATACCCTCGGATCTGCAGCCATCGGGCTAAAATACCCCTAGTCTATTGACTCAAACACATAGCAATAAATCCTCAACCCAAAATAGTATTATGTCGACATATGTAGCAGATAAACATATAACTAGTCAGCAGAAAAAAATGTAGATCTATAGATCGCTACCATATCTAATAAATTAGTACAGCATCATCACATCCTATATACCAGGATACATATCTAACATATCACTACATCATAACAATATCCTATATACCATGATACAAATCTAATAGATCACTACAACATAACAACATCATATATACCAGAATACAGATCTAACAGATCACTAGAACCTAACAACATCCTATATACCAGGATACAGATCTAACATATCACTACAACATAACAACATCCTATATATATCAGGATACATAATCAAGTGGGTCAACATTGGTGCCTTTGACCCACATGTACAGTGAGGAAACTCACCTCATAATATGATGAAATAGTTGAACAACATGCTGCTCCGAATACCAATTCTAATGGTCACCTTTTCAACAATAAATGATCAAATATCATACTACAACTCAAAATACCCAAAATACCCCTAGGGCGAACTTGGTCAAAATCCTGATCAAAGTCAAAAGTCAAAGATTCAACCGAGTCAACTTAGGCTGAGTACGCCCATCTTACCCAGTATGTACGCACGACGTACTCATTGATCCAGAAACGTGGACTCCATTGCATACGTGCAACGTACTCGGAAGTACGCCTATAGTACACAATCAAATAACAATCTTACATTAAGTACTTATCTCCTTAAGTCCTTTCCTCTAAAGCCCAAATCTAGTCCCAAATAGTGTTCTAAATCATAAAGTTTCTAACTTTCTGACCTTGCATGCTATTCAGTGCCCAAACCTTAAAACCTTAACTTCTTAACCCATAAAGACATCATAACCTTTGCATCGAAGGACTAAAAGGGCCCAAGATCATATTTTTATCACTTTAGACACTCTAAAACATCCAAAAGGACAACTCCTTTTGTCTAGAGTAGCTCATACTCAAATGGACCAAGATTATGGGGCTAAAAAGCACAAAATTCAACATCTAGCAAGATATATTGAAATAATCAATAAGTTCAGATCTTTATACCTATTTTGTAAAAATAAACCAAAAGTTAAATACTTCAAAAAACATCAAATGGAAGTAAAATACTTCAAAAAATATGAGTCATACAACCAAATGGTATATTACAATAGCCAAAGTCCAAAATAGTCGATTACAACCAAAACACTAATGAGTGTTTTTTTTTGGGTTTTTTAATATATATATATATATATATATATATATATATATATATATATATATATATATATCTATGTATATATAATATGGGTTGGTTTGTCGGTTTCTCATATAAGCCGGTTCTTGGGTTGGATGGGTCGGTTTCTGGGTAAAAACTGAAACTGAACCCGATTTTTCGGTTTTTAAACAATTTAAACCATAACCGTTGGTTTTGTTTCGGTTTTAGTCAGTTTCTCAGTTTCTTGGTTCGGGTTTGCTCACCCTTAGTATTTCTTACAATCTTGGTGTTTTGGTGCTCCGAAATTTAAATTTATTAACATATGAAGTAATTGATCCATAAAGGAACCGTTGATATATGCTTAAGATTTAAGGGTAAAACTCATGTTTTTTCTCAAAAATACATACAACTTCACCTAACCTACTATAATATTAATAGGTTTGTCACTGGCAATGGTTTCTTATATGAACATAAAATTTTGTTTTCGTTTAACCTTTAACCTACTTTTAGGTAGATTGTAATAAGATATTTAAAACATAATTTAAATATCTTATAATACTTGTAGCATAAATTTGTATAGAAATTGGATTATACGGACGATGACGAGTTCAATATTATACTAACGTCATTGTTTTGTGGCAAATAATTGGTTATAGAAAACTTTGGTCATTGGTTTTATGGAGCTTAATGACGTTTATTTCTATTTATAATTCGAAACAAGAAAATTTTCCAGATCTTTATTGAAAGAGTAAAAGAGTTGAAACAATTTTTTTTTTTTACCTTTTTCATAAAATTTACCAAAATAATGAAATTTTTCTGGAGGTAAACGAGTAAAAAATAATTTACTAGTAAATAATATACATTTGAATTTTTTATCTAATAATAAAGACTTTTATTAGCAAAATAAATTTAATTTTTTTTTTTATATATATACTAAAGCAAAATATTAAATTTTTTCTAAAAATTTCCGAAAAAATAGTGTATTCGTCTTTGGGTGAACGAAGCCAACGTGTAAAAACATAAATTTGAAACCACAGGTGCCAAAGTCATCAAAAATGAAACTAAAGGGGGCAAATATGCCACTACGCGTTGAAGGGGGGCGTGGTGCTATTTGAATCACCACTTTCCTTTGGATCAAAACCTCTTTGCTTCAAAGCCCAAACCCTCGCTCTCTGTGGCCGCCGAAACTCCTTTCACTCCCTCTTCCTAGGGTTTCTCTCTATCCCCTTCAAAACCCCAAACTATTTCTGGGTTTTATACCCTGTTTTTGAAGATCTATCAATCTATCATCTCCAACCATGGCAGCCGTTGCTCCTCCCGCAGATCGTATCCTCTGTTTACTATGATTTTCCTTTACTGAATTGTTTTTGCTGTAGCTCGATTCGAATTGCTTTGTTTTTTTATAAATTTAAATATGGTTTCATAGATCTGAGTTCTATGTGATTTGTAACCATGTCGATTGTATGTCACACAAAACCGAATCATAATTCCGAGATTCGTGCTTGATCTTTTCTGATTTGGATAAAGGTATTCCTTTTTTCTATTTCTGTATCCCGTTCGACTAACTTTTTTGAGTTTTAGTAGATCCTCACGAACTATCGATTTCTATTTTGGTTTAAATGTTTATAGCGACCAATTTCTTTGAAACAATTGGATTTCCTTTACTTATCGTACTACAGAAGCTGCTGATTTGTTGAAGAATATGTCATTAGACTCTCAATCCAAGACCTTGGAGACTTCAGAGTCTGCTAAGAAGGTGAGGACTTTTCATAAATTTGGTAATTTGTGATAATTTTCTCGATAATTTTACAAGTTTCGTCAATACTCGTTAACATCACCATAAACCTGATCATGTGGTTTGTTTACACCTTGCAGCCTTCTGTTGAAACCGGAAACAATGGCATCATTCAAAGCCAACCTTTCGAAAGGTCTCTTACACCATTGATTCCAGATTTCATGGATCCAACAGTGGCTTACTTTCCCAATGGCTACCCTTCTCCTGCTTATTACTATGGAGGTTATGATGGCGCCACCAATGAATGGGATGACTATTCAAGATACGTAAACCCTGAAGGAGTCGACATGTCACATGGTGCTTATGGAGATAATGGCTCACTCATGTATCCTGGTTATGGCTACACACCTTATGGTCCATATTCACCAGCTGGTTCACCAGTTCCAACCACCACCCATGATGGTCAAATCTATGGAGCTCAACATTACCAATACCCTACTCCATACTTCCAACCCATGGCTAACACCCCTTCCGTCCCTCTGAAAGTGGAGAATTCCAGATCTACCCCTGTGGACACCACCACCGGAAATCCCAATTCCATCACAAAGGGAAACACGAATTCCGCCCCTGTGAGACCACCAGTGTATCAGAATTCAGGTTTTAACCGCGGTGCTCATAACTCGTTTCAAGATCCAAGATACGGGTTTGATGGGGTCCACTCTCCAATACCATGGTTAGACACCCCATTAAGAAACAATAACATCACTCCTCCTTTATTAAACACAAATGGGTTTTCTTCAAAGAATCAGAATGTTCGTCCTCATTCTCATCTCATGGTATGTAAAAGACTAAAAATCCAACCTTTCTTCATTACCTTTTCACATTCTTTAATCTTGATTCTTGATTAATTTACAATAAATGATTTGTTTGATTTGTAGAGTCCCAGACCAATGTCTGGCATAAATGCAGCAAATGCATACATGAATAGAATGTATCCAAACAAGTTATATAGCCAATATGGAAGCAACTATAGTTCTTATGGGAATGGCTGGATGACTGTTGATAACAAATACAAGCCTAGAGGAAGAGGAGGAAACGGTTTCTTTGGTTACACCAATGAGAACATAGATGGTCTTAATGAGCTAAACAGGGGACCTAGAGCTAGGATAACAAGACCCCGAATCACCATATCTGTTAAAGGACAGAATGGTAATTTGACAAACATTGTTGGTATCGATAAGGTGTGTGCAGCTCCAGATAAAGACCAATACAACCACGCTGATTTCCCTGAAACTTATGAAGATGCCAAGTTCTTTATTATTAAATCTTATAGTGAAGATGATGTTCATAAGAGCATCAAGTATAACGTGTGGTCAAGTACACAAAATGGAAACAAGAAACTTGAAGCTGCATATCAGGAGGCTCAACAGAAGCCTGGAAGATGCCCTGTTTTTCTTTTCTTCTCGGTATGGTTAATTACGGTTTTACCCTTGTGTTTTTATTTTTTTTACTAGTGTTTGATTTTTTGTGATTGGTTTTGTAGGTGAATACAAGTGGACAATTTGTGGGTGTTGCGGAAATGGTGGGGCCCGTTGATTTTAACAAAAGCTTGGAGTATTGGCAACAAGACAAGTGGATTGGTTGTTTTCCTGTAAAGTGGCATATTGTTAAAGATGTGCCTAATACTTTATTGAAGCATATTATTCTTGAAAACAATGAGAATAAACCTGTTACAAATAGCAGAGACACCCAAGAGGTATTTCCTTTTAGATTTTTTGTTTTTAATTTTGTGGTTTGGTTATTGAAAGTTGGGTTTTTATTTTTGTATCAGGTGAAATTGGATCAGGGGTTACAAATGATTAAGATATTTAAGGAGCATTCAAGTAAGCAATGTATATTGGATGATTTTGAGTTTTATGAAGATAGACAGAAGAGGATTCAAGAAAAGAAAGCAAAACAACAGCAGTTTCAGAAACAGACATGGGAAGAAAAACTCACCACTGTTGAGAACAACAAGAAAGATGAAGTGGAAAACAATGTTGAGGCTAAAACGACAGTGAATGGTGTCGTTGCAAATGGTTGCTAGATGATATGTTTTTAAGGATAAATGTATACAAAAACGAGGTTTGAGGTTTGAGGGGGAAGGAAGACATGTAATATAGGAAGGTTTTAGGTTTCTAACAGGTTTTCCATGTCTTTTTTTTAATATGCTCTTTTTTTTGGTGTTATATTTTTATGCTTTTGTGTTTATTTGTTTGATTAATGCGTAGTAGTTTTTCATAATGGCATAATCCTCCTCCCTTGTAAAATCAAGTCCATGAATACATTTGTGTCTCATCTTTCTTTATTTTAGGTTTATTAACTATAAGAAACTTATTTCTACAAAAGCTAAGATTTTTTTTTAAAAAAACTTACGAAAAACATATTTAACAAGAAAAAAAATCTCCAAATATGTTTTGCAATTCAGGAAAACTCGTCGTATGGTTTTTATTTAAATTCTTTAAATGGTTAAAACAAACAAATATTGATATTTGGGGAATTTGGTCTATAAGTAAATAAAATTTTACCAATGTTTTAAGGCAATTTAACTTTATAGTCGTCCAGATTGATACGACAATAATGAGTCGATTAAACGAAAGGTACTACTAACTTTTCTATAAAACTCATGTTATTGTTTTCAAGCTAAACAAAACCACCCTCAAAATTGTCTAAAAAACCCTACTTAAAGAGCCACAAAATTCAAAATTCTTCTGGATGATATATTTGTTCAATCGACGAATAAAATTGGCATAAAAGCCAAATACAAATTTAATTCTCTCACCCATACACTACTGTTGATTCTTTCTAAACTCTGTTAGCACGGGATATATATTCTCAAAGGCAGTGTATGTCTCTTCTCTAACCTACAACAAAACACCATAAAAAAAAGTTATAAAAATAAACAAATAAAAATTATATATATATATGTATGTATAAACTATTAAAATCTCACACCTTAGCTCCAGTAAGAACAATTTTCCCAGAAACAAAAATAAGCAACACGATTTTAGGTTGCTTCATACGGTAAATCAATCCAGGAAACAGTTCCGGTTCATACTGCAAAAATAATAAATAATTAATAATTATTTAAAATAAGTTGAGTTTGATTAATGAAACAAATAAAAAGAAACTTACACTTGAGAAAGCACCATGAGAGTATGCAAGTCCTTCGAGTCTAATTGGAAATTTCACATCACATGATCCAACTATATTCTGGATTTTGAAATCCTAAAAAATTACACAAAATATTACATTGAATTTTTATTTTTTTAAATAATATGAGAGTGTTTAAGTTTTACCTTAAATTTAGCCGGGAAACCAAGCTTTTGTATAATTCGGGCATACTGGAAAAGAATCAAGTCTTTAAGCATACAATAAAAGAAAAAAAAAAAAAAAAACGAAAATAGTAACACTATATGATTGATTTAGCCTTTATCTCCAAAAAAAAGATTTAAATACCAGAATATTTGTAGAGACTGTGTTTTTTCTTTAAATAAAAAGATTATAATAATATTCATGTACCTTTCTTGCTGCTAATTTTGATTGCTGTTCACTCTTGGCTCCTGTACAAACCTGAAGAAACAAAGTACAATATCCATATGAATATGAAGAAAAACAGCAAAATTAAAAGGGAAATAAAAAGATACTTTGAATACAATGATATTTGCTTGATACTAAAATATAAATTTAAAAGAAAAAAACTTTACCATTTTCCCAGAAGCAAATATTAGTGCTGTAGTTTTGGGTTCTCTTATCCTCATAATAACAGCAGCAAAACGCTGGATGAAGTAAAAGGGTATCAGATTTTTATGATTATTTCTTCATCTGTGATTAAAACATTCAAAACTAATTTCTAGAAATACTACATACCTTAGGGTTGTATTCTGCATTTCGAGCCTGTAATGCTATAGCTTTCAAATCCAACTTGCAGTCAAGATTCACAGTAGACACTATGTTTCTACAAATATATATATAAAAAAACATTGTAAAAATAACGAAAGCACAAACTACTGAAAACCAAGAGTGATGCTACTTGTTCTCACCAAAGAAGAATCAATTAAGAACTTACTGAAGAGTAGGGACAATTCCAGATGGGTGTCTGATGAGATCAACCGGTTGGCTTCCTTCAAGCGCTTGATCCGCCATCAAACTCTCCTCCTTATCCCCTCTCTAACTCTACAGTTCAATCAACAACTTCAGCGAATGAACCTTTTCCGAATCAAATTAGTCCTACAAAAAGAATCATCGCCATAAACCAACTTTCCCAAACCCGTATTCGAAGCTATTTTAGTTTCGTAATTCACTAATTCTTTGATTTACAGATGCTACTAATGTAAAATTAAATCTACAGCATACAGACTATTAATAATCTCCCGATTACAGACCAGAAAGTAGTGATTCTTTAACTATCCGGCCACCCTCTTCGAATGTGAGATCTTAGATTAGGGTTTCTGAAAATTCCGAGATGGGTTTCGAAATTAAAATCAATGGGAAACGCAGGAGACTGAGAATTGACGAGCGTTGCAGGTGATTTGATGTAAGGCGGGTAGGAATTTGAAAGAGTAGATGTTTATATAGGTAAGGGAGATTCGAAGGTGGATATATAGAAGGGGGATGAGAAGCACTGAACGAATGAACGATATGGGAAGCAAGGGTTGGGTCTCGAATGGTTATGTCATGGGCGGCTTTGGATGTCTTTTATATCATGCCGTAAATACCCCTGTTTAGTCAACGCGTTCGTGGGTATTAAATTGTTAATTGTAAATAGTAAATTGTAATGAGAAATTGTTTATTAAATAATTAACTTTTCGGTTAGTTTTATTTCTGTATTTTTTTGTATACGTCTAGATAAATTTTTTTTAGAATTGTTCATCTATGATCATTATGATCGACTATACAAGTTAAATCCGATCATAATGGTCATCTGTAAACACTTTCAACAAGTTTGTTACTTAAATGTGTATAAAAAAAGAAGTTACTTAAATATAAACAAAATGAAAAGGTAATTAACCTGATAAGTCAATTTGTATTATTATTAAGGTACTAGATTATGACCCGCGTTTAACGCGGGAGAACACATAAAAAAAAAAGACGATAAAGTAATATAAAGAGACTTCGTGTTATTGATTATTATAATGTGTAAAAAAATGAAATGAAATGAAATGTCTTATTATTTATAATTGTTGAATGATCTCTTTGCAGAAAATATTTTTTGTTTTATTGGTTGACGATCTTCCTCGTCACATATAAATACTTTGAAGCATTTTTTACTTGTCACGTAAAAAACATCTACATATACAGTGGCAGATCCTTTAAGGGGCCATAGGAGGCCATGGCCCCTCCATTTTTCACCAGATCTATGTTGTTTACCATAGATGTTGCAAAGAAAGGATCCTAGAATGGTTGTGATGAAGGTAACTAGCCGACGAAAAAAGGGTGGGGATGTATATTTGTTGGGGAATCATTTCTACTGATTAATCAAGATGTAAAGATGCAAATAATGAATTGGTGACAATACTGAAACAGGATCACTTCGTCCCTTGAACCACCACCGATTCCATATTGTATTCTCTATATCTCTTTCTCTTTCTCTAATTTTCCCTTGCAAACACCAAGTTTTTTTTTTTTTTTTTTTTTTTTTTTTTTTTTTTAAATTTGTTGATTTGATTTGTTTATTGCTTGAGAAAAGTGCACATTCAGTCTTTTGTACCATAATTTAATGTTGCTAGAATTTAACACGTGGAGTTGCACATGAAGTGTTTGTGAAAAGTCCTCAATGAGGTTTATTTTGTGAAAATAAATTTTGATAAACATAGCATAATTTGAGCTACAAATTTTTTTTTTTCTGTAAGTTTAGTACTTCTATACAAAAATTGAATTCCTTTATGTAAATGACATTAATATTGATAACCTCACTAAACTTTTGAAGCAAGTTTTGTGTTGTTTTTTCCAGAAGCTTCTTTTGATGTGTGCTTTAATAAGGATGACCCAACCCTTACCTTTTCTAAAGTTCCATGATTTGGTGGCAAGAAAGGCTTCATGAAAATAATCATAACTAGCTTAAATGAGTTGAAGAATCTTCATAATCGGCTTATTAATTGCTGCCATAATGGATCTTTAATATTTCAATAATGGGTCATTAATTAGTTTAATAATGAGACTTTAATAGTTATTTAATTGCTTTAGACTTTTGATATTTTCGAGAGTTATGTTATTAGCACTATAAATAGAGTTCATATTTGTACTTGAAAATCAGTTATCTTTTGAAGAAAAATAAGAACTTTGTTCATCCCTTTCTTGAATTATTGCTTATAATTCAGATTTGTATCATTGTTTGGGACGTGATCTCATTCGTGATTTTTGAATTCAATTCAACAGGTCTTGGATTGTTTTCACCGATTTTCAAGTTATAGGTCTAACTTGATCATCATACTATTCTTTGTTACTTTTTCGTGTTATTCCCTTGCAAACCGTTCCAAATATAACCAAAAACAGCCCCATTTGCATTGTTTCTTCTCTATTTGTTATCATTTCGCTGCAATCAGAAACACTCCAAAACAAAACCTCCCATACATGTATCATAAGTGGTATCAAAGCCTAGTTCTGATTGGGTGTCGTTGAGCAAGACAAATTCCTGGTTCAACATGTCTCCAACGAATGAGAATCTTGAATTTGTCGGACTAGAAGCATATCTCTCGAGTTTTTCTGAATCTGCCTCACTCTTTTGGGACGTGGTGGATAAGGATAACAATGGTCATTTTTGTGACACCAATTCCTTTTACGACATGGAACCTGTCTATGACACGGAAGATGAAGGCGAGTTCATTGAAGAAGTTTATGTTGAAAATAATATTTCTTTTTCAAAATTCTTAATTAAGGAAACATGTCATGATAATATCTACGAAGAGTTTTCAGGTTTTTATATTCTTTACAACCATGATCTACTTTCAATGGCTACTCAAGAAATCAAAATCAAGGAAGCTAACAAGTCTACCAAAAACATATATGATCAAGACTATTTCCCCGTTTGGTACGTTTTTGTTCGTTTTAAACTTTGGAAATCGTTTGCCATTTGGAAACCGTGGGCAAGAGGAATTAGAGATGAAGACTTGAGAATAAAGACGAAGACTCGAGGACAAGTCTTTTTTAAGAGGGGGAGAATGATGTGTGCTTTAATAAGGATGACCCAACCCTTACCTTTTCTAAAGTTCCATGATTTGGTAGCAAGAAAGGCTTCATGAAAATAATCATAACTAGCTTAAATGAGTTGAAGAATCTTCATAATCGGCTTATTAATTGCTGCCATAA